TTCGGGGTAGAGTGGACTTGGGCATTGTGGGGAACGGCGCACGCGGGCGGGGACGGTGCACAAATGTGGAAGGTGAATTGTTGAGGGATGCACTGCGAGACCGCCTAGCTTTGATGTAGGACCGTGCGGTAGGGAGGTGGTGCACACGGGGTGGTTCGATCGGTAGGCGGCAGGAGTTATTAAGTGGTCCATGTCCATGGTCGTCGTGCGCGTGGTTGGTTGGTCGTTCGAACAGCGGCATGATTGTCGTCGACGAGTTCACATTATTGTTTTCATGCTGTTGATGGCTACCTGGTTCGCACAGTTGTGCACAGTTGTGCGAAGTTTAAAGATTGGAAGAACCTTTTTTTTTGCCAGTGTGCGTCGTCGTCGTTAGGACTTTTTGTCTTTTATATATTTTTTCTGTCTTCAAATCGTTTGTGATGAACGGTGTCGTGTGATGGGAAACATGGTTGTCGTTGTTTTTTTTTTATATTATATATATATATATTTTGCTATCCATCTGTGGAAATGTTGTTTATCTTTATCGTTTTTTTGTGCATATCTTCATTTCAGTTTCCATGACCGGTTTCGTGTGCTGTTGTGGTGCAACATGCTTCTGTACGATCCCGTCATGCATTCTCTCAATCAGTGATCAACGCATGTCTATTGCATGTCGTGAAGCCAATACGAAGAACAAGAACAAGTGCAACGCAGACAAGGACACTGCATGACACGCACGACATTTGTGTCCCACAAAAGACATGACGACATTCATGACACCGACATATGATAGAGTCGTGAGAATTGTCACACGCATCGCAAAAAAGAAAACAACAATTAACCGCCACACGCTTCAAATCGTCCAAGACAATAAGGAGCACCATGCATTGATAAAACAACCACGTGCGCTGAACGCAGAAATAAAAATAAAATAAAAACAACAAAAAAAAAATGAAAAATAAAGGTACAAACGTTTCATCCCGTGCTGGCGCTACTGGCCGCACACTAAACACCTACGCCACCGTCGAAGATTCAGCTGAATCCCTCCGGCCAACACGCTTACCACCGAAACTACAATGACACAATCAAACTGAATCAACCTGTGCTTATGCCACGGGCGCCACAGTAAACCTGTGCGCAATAATGAAGGAGGACTCTGGCGAATCCCGGCGGCCGGCACGCTAATAAGGTGCGCCACGCACGATACTCCAATCACACGACAGCCCGTCACGTCTCGCCACGCGTACATGCGCCTTCGTTCTTAGAAGCGCTGTCTCCCCGCTCTCCCCCCGCATACCAGCCCGCCTTATGAGTCGTCTTTTCCTTCACCTTTGATGTGATCATCGGCGGGGCCCGAACCCAACCAATCCAGCCTCTTCGCATCCTCCGGCCCCTTGATGGTCGCGTCGTGCGCAAATCCGATGCCGCATGGTGCCCAATCAGGGATGTAGTCGGGGTACATTCCGAGCGTGGCTTTCGCCTTCCCAAGCCTCTCCGTGACGACGTTCACAGCGTGGACGACGGATCGTCGATGATCGAAGGACCGATGCATGGAGGCGATAAGTGTCGGCCTGGCGACGAGATCCGCGAAGTAAAATGCTTCGTAGTGACAGCGCGGATCGTCTCCCGCCATGCGCATAATCCACATGGACGCCGCCAGCAACAGCCTGAAGCAGTCAGCCACCCGACATAGACGCTCGTAGGAGATGAAATCGCCGTCGATGTGAGCACCCATTTGCACCGCCGCGCGAAACGAATGCGCGATGCTGATGACAGTGGACTCCTGGTACGCAGCCATGTCGTCGTCCTCAGGTCTGTCCTCGATATTCGCGCCGGCGTACCACAGTGGAAGGTCCATGTTAAGATCTATCGTGTGGGCGCAGATCGGCGCGCTGACGACATTGCGCCAATCCTCGCCGCACCACATTGCACTCGCAATGTCCGTCGCTACGGACTCCAACGAGTACTGGAAAGCAAGGTGGTACCCCCTTGGGCGGTTCCCGGACTTGACAACCCAGCCGTGCAAGATGCGTAGAGCTATATTCTCCACCGCCGCCGCACGGGAGATCGCTTGCTGGAGCTGTGATTGGTCTGCGATCCTCGCCACCCTCGTGCTGGATTTGGGGATGACAACGCTCCGCGGAATTTCAGGTGGCGGAAGGTCACTGGCGATGGCGACGAAGTACTCCTTGGTTTCGTGGACAATGTTGTAAAGTCTGCGTCCTTCACCCGTCGTCCAGAAACATTTGTCATCCACCCAAAGAAGCGCACGGTCGATAAGGTCTTTCGTCATGACTCCCCTGCGTGCCCGGCTTGAAGCGGCCTCGCCGCCATCCCGTTGGTTCGTGTTCTGTCCACGACCCTCCTCTCTCACCGTCGCCGAAACTGCAGCCTCCTCTCTCGCCGCCAGAACGGGAGGGACAATACCTGCAACAGCCACACCCGCGCCACCTGCCGCCTTGCCCCCTGCTGCACGCGCGTCTGCCACGACTCCCCCCCCCCCACCTCGTTGGCAAGACGCACCGTCACCACCGTCGTTGTGCTGACGCGGCTGAGACAGCGTGCAGGGCAGTGCACCTGTGATCGGCCTTTCGTCCTCCGCAGCGCGAGCCGTCGACACCGCCGCTGTGGTCGCTTGTATCGCACTGCGCAGGCGACGTTTTTCCAAAGGCTCGTCATCTTCGCTGCCAAGGTCCACCACAACACCCTTCTCTTTCCACGTTTTGTGGACACGCAGCTGCTGCGCCTCCGGCGGAGGGGTTGACATCCTCTATGAAGCGCTCTGATCCGGAGTACGCTGCCTGACACTCTCCCGTCCTGCAGACGCCGTCGCCTCGCCTTGATCGTCCTCCATCATGAAATCATCGTCGTTGACCTCTTCCACGGCCTGCGCCCAACCTCGCGCACCACGATGCGGCACACTTGCTAACGCATCATCCAAACGTAGCCTCTTCGCCTTCGGGACGTGCCGCCGACCTTTCCCCTGGGCTTGGGTGTCGTCAAGCGCGACGTCGCGCTTCTTGCCTCGGGCGTTCAATCGCGTAGACATGCTCGCTGGGGACCCCCACAAGCGATCTCGGTGTAGCGCTCGGCTGAAGTGTGCTGTTTCGTCGAAAAAGATGTCACCCGTCTCTTGCCAGCTTGGCGAGACAGGCTATCCTGATGACGCTGAAGATGTGTCCTCCGCTGCAGGATGACGACGACGCGCAAGCGCACCACGAAAGGATGATGTCCTCGGTGACACCTGTCCTTCGCGATGGCGGGAGTGCTCCGCGGCGAGAAGACTGACTGCTAGAAGAGCGGAAGCGATGACAGTGAAAAGCGTTGTGGCACTGCAAATGCGCGGCGGGAAGTGTGCAGCTGGCCCGGCGAGAAGCGTTGTGGCACTGCAAATGCGTGGCGGGAACCTTGTAGCGCGCCCGGCGAGAAGCGTTGTGGCACTGCAGATGCACGGCGGGAAGTGTGCACCTGGCACGATGAGAAGCGTTGTGGAATCACCCTCGTGCGAACAACATTTATGCGGCTCCGGACGCGCAGCACTGAAATGACACTAGCAGAAGGACCGTCCACGACGTCGCGTCCTCGTGGCAGGAAAACGGAAGGACGACGGCGACATGTGCTACCGCCATGCTTGTCCAGGCCTGTCATTACAAACCTCCCGAAGACGTTTGGTCGACGCGCGCGAATGCACTCTGGAAGGACCAAAACAAAGACGGCCCGCCTTCAC